CTGGTGTGTGTGCGACCATAAATAATGGCGCATATGAAACCTTTTAGTAACGTAAAAGGTGGTGACACACAGTCTCTCATATATATATATATATATATATATATATATATATATATATATATATATATATATATATATATACTGAGAGACCGTGTCTGTCAAAATACAAAAAGGCAGAAGCTAGAACCATATATATGAAATACCCCACACCCAAATGACTGTGATCAATATTCTTATCCAGACAATATAAAACACAAAGACCAATCAAGAAGCGAGCGGGAAAGCGATATTGAAGTTTGAGCCATTTGCATTAGAGTCCTGTGTCATTTAAGCTCTAGATTACACACACGCAAACACATTCTCTCTCTCTGTCTGTCTCTGCTCTGTATATATATATATATATATATATATATATATATATATATATATATATATATATATATATATTCGTGTGTGAGCGTGCGCACGTTATATGATACACAAATGTATTTGACCATGAAAATATAAAATTACTTACACTACTATCTAGTTTCTACCATCTGCTTGTAAATATCCTCTTTCGGGTGTTTGTAATTTTCATAAATGCTAACGTTAAGAATTTATTTATCTATTCATGTAAAAAAATTACTCACACGTTAATGATTACTTTTCATTCGGTATATTCATTTCTGCTCGATTCTCTCAATTTCTTACCGGTTTATAAAACTTGTGCTCCTTATATAAAAAAGAAAACCCGAAGAATATTAAGAGAAATATACATGCATATATATATATATATATATATATATACTCATACACACATACATATATATAAGTATGCATATATACATATGTATGCAAATATATGTAAATGTGTATATATATATATATATATATATGCATACATATATATATATGCACGTAAGCAAATATATATGTATGTATGTATGTATATATATATATATATATATATATATATATATATATATATATATATAGTAATGATACAGTATGGTAATCCGTATGGAATTTCCAGGAGGATATAGATATAGTGAGAGCTCTATATCAAAAGACAGAACAATATTTTTAGTTAAAGAACATCAATTTTTAAGTGTTTGTTATTCTTTAATTAATTTACACACACACACACACATATATATATATATATATGCTTACATATATATGCACGTATAATATATATAATTTTACACACACACACACATATATATATGTGTGTGTGTGTGTGTGTGTGTGAGTGATTGGATGAGAGAGACATAGTGAGTGAGGGATCACAGTTTTGAAAACTGATGAAAGACATTTTTTTTTAAGCTTAAGAATATCCAGGCAGGTGGACGTATTTGAAACACTTTTGAAAAACGAAAAATATAATGAAATCGAAAAATAGACATATTTGTATTCATTTACAGTAATTAACATACATGGTTTAATTTCTGTACCTGCTTGCGTTTGATGTCTCCATTTTTTTGCCTGCGTCTTGGACTATATCTCTTTATAACGATCAGAAAAGCTGTTTTTTTTAATGATATATCTCCGAATTTTCTTTTAATAACTCTAAATTCTTATGACTGTTCTCGCTTTACGTTTCAAGAAGTTCTGAATTCAGATATTATCTTCTCCTAGATTGGTTGTCTAACTAATGTCAAAGCATCTAGCCCGCCCTTTTCATTTCACTCATAGGTGGGTTTCTAGATGGAATCCTGTCTTTCCCACAGGTTATATTGCGAAATGATAACAAAACACCCAGCTACCGATTCTTTTTTCTTCCGCTTTGTTATCTGTCATGCCTCTAGCACATTGTATCCCCCTACTTACATTATCGAAAAATATTGGATTTATGGAGACAATCAAATTATATTTTTATGATGACACATATGGAAAAATATAGATAAACCCAACGTGCTTGTTGAGCTGCTCTGATATTTTTACGCTTGTATAAATTACCAAAATATAAGTGTTTTTCCTCGGGTCACGTAGCTAAATCATATTTTCTTTGGAAATACAAAAAACGACATTAATGTACATCAATAAGGGAGATATATGCTTAACTATGTAACGACTCCAAGAACGCTGGCTTCATATGGTTATAAATAAAAGACAATTTGTTTCCATGTATATATTTTTTTCTTTGTACATATTCTTCTTTGTTAATATATTTTGTTATATATTTTGTTGAGAAGGATGCGTTAAACTATCCGTATATATGTGATATATGTTTACTTACTTTGTAAGCTCTTGTATATATATATATATATATATATATATATATATATATATATATATATATATATATATATATATATGAGAAAAAAACAAACTTGCCTTCATTTGGGGACAAATATGGGCGTGCTTGCATATATGTTATATACGTTCGATGAAAATGGTAAACAGCTTTGCATGGCGTTTATATTTGTATGTATGTATTTACATTTGTGACACAGTATCCGAAGGCGTAGAACTAGCGAACGATGTCTTTAAAAAGCGAAACAATGTGTTAAGACGGAGGACGATATGGTTAGAAAGAAGAAAATATCTAATCTCCAATATGGCGGAGAATATTGGATGTTTCCTCACAGATGTTTAATAGAATTCAAGCGATGTTTCTACCGACGAATGCTGTGATTACTATAAACGGAATATACAAGCTATGAGGAAGCTATGTTAAACAAAAGTTTTCCCAGAAAATCACCTAGGGAATAAAAAATATATTAATTTCAATATTTTTATCATTCAAAAATATTTTAACACACAACGAAAAATTAAAACTCCAGAAATAGATTACTATATAATTGTAAAAATTATACAACAAAAATTCGTCCATTTTTGACTTAACACAGACGGACGATTTTCGATAACCCTCTCCATAAAAGCAGTTAAATAACTGTGGCTGTATCTCACAAATTTCTGCCCAGATGCTATCCTTGAGCTGCTGAATTATCTGCAGTTCTTTTTTATGCACACATAAAACTTAAGGTATACCGAAATAAAATATTCAAGAGGCCTCATATCAGGAGAATATAGTGACCATAAATTTCAGGAAATTTTCCGATGACACAAAATTAAAATAAGGGAACGAAGCACACCCCAAAGTAGAGACTCATCAGTCTCCTCAGTATCACCAGTAAGCTTTTTGAGGCCATAATCAATAAGAAAGTCGTCGAACACCTAGAAAAGAACAAGTTCTTCAGCGACGAGCAGTATGGGTTTCAGTCGTCCCGATCCACTGCTGATGTTCTATCATCAATCACAGTATCAGTGAAGCTCTTGACGACAAGATTATCTCGAGAACCATAGCACTAGATATCTCAAATGCCTCCGAGAAGGCATGACACAAAATCATACTACACAAGCACTCCATTCATTTGAAGGGTCTTCTCGATCCTAAAATCTTTTCTAACAGGTAGGTTCTTGAAGGTAGTTATCAATGGCCAGACTCCGGGAGACCTAAAGATCAACGCTGGTGTTCCCCAGGAGTCACACCTCCGAACAATCTTCTTTTTGATCTACATAATATCTGACCTCTACCGATCTTGCAGCCAGTTTTTATCCCAATCCGGATGGCCGGAGTACCTCTCGGGGAAGCACCAATGCTCTCTCACACCAGACATGAAGTGGAACACGTACATACAATCCATTAGGTTAAAGTACGGATACCGAAGTTAAACTATATCGAGTCTGGTCAGTACCATGATGGGTGACCGCGTGGGTATATCAGGTGCAGTAAACTTGGATGTGTGGCTTTCTTTCTGCGGTAGCCCAGTTGTGATCCAAAGCTATAGAACCCGGTCTGCCCAGCTATTTACCCATATCTGGTGGGAGAAGAATCCTTTCCTAACAGTATTAGCACGTAAGTGAATGTGATGGGTTCGACTGGAATTCGGACTCGGCTCACCGATTCCTCAATCCGTTACGCCACCGTGCCTCCAAATAGTATTTTAAAATGGGGAACTACTTTTCCATCACCTTTCATACATGCATATATATATATATATATATATATATATATATATATATATATATATATATGCACATTTTAATGAATACGACGTACAATGTGCTTCGATTTGGTTTTTATACAATTTCTCATTCGATCTAATAATATTTTTCTCTTCGTATGATAAATTATATAAAACTGTCCGAATGTTCTTTTTATCTGAACGTTTTCTGCCGTACATTTAGCGACTGTCAAGAATTAAATATTTTAACTGTTAAATTAGAAATAGTTTATTGCATGTATGTTTTATAAAATGTTTTCATTTTTCAAAACACGGTCAAGATATTGTGTCCATGTTCATAGTTAATATTATTAAGTGTTGTTTGTTTTTATTTTTATTAATAAGACTTTCATTATTTGTAGCCTTTTTTGCATCTAGATGATCCTGTTATATTAGTGTTGTCAATAAATATGTTAGGAATAGTGTCCGGTAGATCTCCATGAATATTTAAATGAGATCTAATTGAGCTATGGTCCGAAAGGTGTAGAGTGAGTCTGCGTGTGAAACATGCTGTAGTGTGGCCTATATAATTATTTACGCATTTTGATTGATCATGATCACAATTCCTTAATGAGCATTTAAAATCGTAAATAATATTTGTCCTATTTAATTTTGTTCTAAGAGGTGAATTATTATTTTTAACTATAAGTATAGAGGTTTTAAATTTTTTGTGATAAATAACTAATCTATTTTTTTATATTGTCAATATATATATATATATGTGTGTGTGTGTGCGTGTGTGTGTGTACCAGAACAAAAAAGCACAATTTAATTTTGACAACTATTATTGAACATATTTTTTTACTGTAATCAGTTTGATCCCTACTTAGTATCACACACAGTGACCTTGTATCAAACTAAATATATACTTGTTTTCCTTGTATAGCGACAAGTCTGGCACACTTATCCCTTTTTTTTTTTTACTTCGACTCGGCTAGGATCAAAGTATAGGCGAACGGCTCCGTCTACAATCTGAGAAATTACGATGACCAAATTAGGGATGGAACATCAAGTTCCGTGTCTTCTTCTGTGTTGGTATTTACTGACATTCATCTTTGAATTTATCAAACAGATAGCGAGACAGTTGGTCTGCAACGAAATTCCAGACGTTAATAACAACGGGGACAAGAGTGAAAGGAAAAGGCAAAGAAGAGAAAAAGAGAGACAAGAAAGATGAGAGTAAATAAGAGAATAAGAGAAGATATAACGAGAAAGCGAAAGAAAATAGAATGGAAGAGATAAACCATTCAACACCACATAAAAAATATAAATGAACATATTAAAATGAGAGAAGGGGAGAATTAAAAGAGACAGTCGGGAAATGAGAAAAAAAAATAACAAAAACAGTCTGTTGTGAGTAAAAAGAAAAAAAAATAGATGAAAAGTTTCAAAACAGAAGATAGACAAAAGATTTAAAAAAAAAAAAGAGACAGTAAGGGGAAAGGATAACGATAAAATGAAAAAAATTGTGAAGTGGAGAGAATTTAAAAAAAAACGTAAACAAAAGACGTAAAACGAAAGAGGAGCAGGAGTAGCAAGAAGAAGAAGAAGAAGAAGAAGAAGAAGAAGAAGAAGAAGAAGAAGAAGAAGAAGAAGAAGAAGAAGAAGAAGAAGAAGAAGAAGAAGATCTGTTGCTTTAAGAGATAGATAAAAAAAACATTTCAGAACAAATAAAAAACGAAAAAGGAGAGACAGAAAAAAGTGAAATTAAAACATCTTGTAAGAAAGAAATAGATATACTTTCAAAACAAGAAAAGAAAATGCGTGATATATATATATATATATATATATATGGAAACAGGAAAAAGGAGAAAAGGGAGAGTAGGACGACCGTTGTGGGCAAGAAATAGATAAAAGTTTTGAAACAACACCCCCCTCTGAACAACAAAAATGACTAAGAAGAAATTAGATATACAGTGGGTGGAAGTGACACTGAAAGTGAGGACATATAAAAATGTCTGTTGGAGCGAAAACAGAAAAGTCCCTAGAAAACAAAGGAAAAAAATAACAGAAAACGAATAGAAAAAAAGAGACAACGAAAAAAGATAAAGAAGATAGAAGATCTCTTGAGAGAGAAAGGAGGGATATACATACATACTTGCATATATATATATATATATATATATATATATATATATATATATATATATATATATATATATAGGTGTGTGTTTGTGTGTGTGTCTAAAGAGTTTTAAATTTTCGTCTTTCGTCACGGTCGTTCATGTCTGTCCCTTTATAAAGAAAAAATAAAACTACTGGCGGGCGTTGTTTCAGTCCAAGATATCATATTCTCTTTCATGTGAAAAACAAACTTCACAATGACACGCACTCGATGGTGCAGACTTGTGGTTAGAGTGCACGGTTGCATGGTGTGAGGTGTTTATGTCGGACAAAGAACAATGAACCGGCTGGCGTTGGGCCTACCTCGTGATGTATAACGCCAATGGTCGGTATCCACATTCAGTTAAATAGACCGAACTTTGAATGATGATTTTCAAAGATAACAGTCTAATTCTGTTTTGGTGAATTCGTTCAAAACATTATTTCTAGACCTCTTTATTTTATATATCTTCCTGACATTTTGCCTGGATCAAAGAGTAGTATATGTTTTCTGCTCATTTGGTATGTGAGAAGGCGCTCTCACCTAGGAATTTCAAATTTGAAGCTGCACCTTCCTCTTTGCAGCCATATGGTGTCAGTGTAATATCGATGCCAGCGTGAAAGTGGTAACTGGGATTGGGCAGTTTTTGTCCTGGGTCCATATGCATATAAAAAAGGCTTTCTGTCATATACTACCTTAGTCGTATACTTACCTGGCACAGGGCTCGTCCCTGGGCTGGTAAGTATCACTGCTATGACTAGCTTAGACCAGCTTGGACAAGCTATGACCAGCTAAGACCAGGTTTAGACCAGCGACCCGAGTGGAAACATTCGGGTTCCCCACTTTAAAAACTGACTTTGTGTCACATCCTGACTCAGTGGGGGGTCAAGTAAATAGTTACTACCTTAGTCGAGAGGTAAATAACGTTATCTCTATCTAACTTAGAACCGATTAATATAAATGGAC